TCACCTCTGTGACTGAATCTGACAGAGACCTATTCAAGTCAAGTGACTTGTGCTGGAAAGAAAACATACTCTTCCCGATGTTTATGCACTTGCCATCACCTCTAGCTTATTGCAAATCCCAGCTCAGCTCCTTTGAAGTGAGCTGAAGTGGATGGAGCTCAGCACTTTACCTTCTGTGGTCCCTTATTCTTAGCTATCATGAAACAACATATAACAGAAACAATCTTTCCTGATGCCAGTAGGCAAAACTATATCTTGTATGTAAGAGAGCAAGCAATGACTCTCCTCTCCTCTCCTCTCCTCTCCTCTCCTCTCCTCTCCTCTCCTCTCCTCTCCTCTCCTCTCCTCTCCTCTCCTCTCCTCTCCTCTCCTCTCCTCTCCTCTCCTCTCCTCTCCTCTCCTCCTCTCCTCTCCTCTCCTCTCCTCTCCTCTCCTCTCCTCTCCTCTCCTCTCCTCTCCTCTCCTCTCCTCTCCTCTCCTCTCCTCTCCTCTCCTCTCCTCTCCTCTCCTCTCCTCTCCTCTCCTCTCCTCTCCTCTCCTCTCCTCTCCTCTCCTCTCCTCTCCTCTCCTCTCCTCTCCTCTCCTCTCCTCTCGTCAAAAGTAACACTTTTATGGAAAAATTGTCCCTAATTCCAACAGTATCTCTGTAGCCACTTCTTCACCTGGGAGGGAGGAGAGTAGCCATTGTACTTAGTAGTTGCCAATAGATTATATTTCTCTCCAATCTCTCCAAATTTTATAGATTATATTATATTAGATATATTAGAATATAATAGATTATATTTCTTCCCAAGCTCTCCAAGTTTTCACAAATTCTATGAACTTGTTACATTGGCTTTTTAAACTCATGTAAATCCACAACAACCAGTTGTGAGGAGCACAGCTGAACTCTGTGTGTATTTGTGAAGTATTTCCTTTTGTTTGTTTTGAATCTGCCATCTGCTAGTTTCATAAAATGCCCCCTAGCCCCCTGCATATGAGGGGGAAATGAAGAAGAGTTCCCTGTTTTGTCTATACCATTCAGGATTTGATTTATGTGTCATTATATATGATGTCATATTCCCCCTCAATCCCTGTTTTCCCAGGCTGATGTGTTCTTGTCTCCTTAGTTGTTACTTATACAGAAGCTGCTTCATATCTTTGCCTTTATATCAATCATTTACTCCGCTGTTTCCAATCCTACTGTGCACTTTTTGAGATGGAAGGGCCCAAATATGCTGCAGTTTTCAAGATGCATCTACATCGTGAACATGTGTAGCAAGGGTCATGCTCACTCAGGAGGCTGAGGGGTCCCCATAGGTGAGGTAGGGTGGTGGTGGTTGGGGAACAAGACCCAGAGAGTGCATAACCAGGAACACCTTCTCACCCTGGGTGATTGCGTTTGATACCATCAGCAGTCTGCAAATCACTGCGGGTGCTGCTCCTTTACTTCTGTTTAATCCATTGGCAAAGGTAGATGAAAACCATGCTTGGAAGTAGATAAAATGATTGAATCCTCTCTGCTGACCATGGTGCAATGAAACTAGGTTCCTTGCTGTCCTTGGGTAAAACATAATGCCAGTTGATGTGTCCCTCTATAGAACAACTTCCTCATTCCTTCAGTTAGCTAGAAGAGCATGCTGGGTTTGCTTTTCTTTTGAAAAAGACAGGATAAGAGAAGGGAAACCTCTCATGCCCATGCACAAAGCTGACAACTCAACTCGATAGCTTAGGCTTTGCATGGTAATACAGACACTGCTGTGCTCTGAAGCCCTGGACTTGGAGATGGGACCTGACCCACTGTTCTGAAATGTGTCTCGATCTCATTAAAGTATCATTTTCACAAATACATGTAGTTATAACAGAAATTAGGCACACCACCTTTTCTGCAAAGCATAGTATTAACTGAGGAAAAAAAAGAAGTGATTGAAAGTAAAGAATGAGCTCTGTGGTGAATCATCTGAAACTATTTAGGGCTCTTGTGTTTTTGTTCCAGATTTGGTCTGTTAGATAACTGCCAATGTTAAAATCATTAATGCCAAGAGGACCTAAGCAGCAAGAGGCTGGTGTGTAGATAACATACACCCCACATTTCTTAGCTATGCAAAGGAAATATTTTATGGAAAGCTTAATTAAAGCAAGATATTTTTTTTTTTTTGGATCAAGTATTTCAGATCATTTAGAAGAGCCCATTTGACAGAAAATCTGCAGAGTTTCAGGTACCAAAAAATGTATTGTCGGTGTGTCTGGAGACAACAGCTCCTAGCTGACACAATTAAAACTGATTCTGCTGGTGTATTCCCTACAAGAGAAAGTCTTGGAGGATAGTGCAAGATCTTGGCCAATTCAGATGAATGCCAGGCCTAACTCTAGGTCAGGTGAACCACAGCCCTTTTCTATCTTTGCTTCTTAATCTGTAAAATGGGACAAATACATTTCTGTGCAGGAAAGAGTTGGTGCTGTTGCTCATATCAGCAGGAAATGACTTTTTTCTTGACAGTTAAATCCACCCAGCTGAGGCTGTTCATGAGTGATTCTCACGGAGCTATGGTGAGCAGCTGGCTAAGGTGGAAGGTCTCACTGAAACCCAAGGTCTTTTCTTTCTGCTTGTCAGGCTCATGCAAAGCTCTCCGGGTGGCCTGGCACTCTGGTCACTGCAGCAGGACATCTGCAGAGTTGCACCAAGGAGACAATTCACGATGTGCAAGCAAAGGGGAGGAAAGGGTTTGTGCTTGCTTTGGCTTGTCCATTCCTCTGTCATTGCAAGGGGTGGTGTTTTGTGTGTGTGTGTGGTGGGGTTTGGGGCAGTTATGGTTTGCCTGCCCAAAATAATACCATACTTCTTTTAGCTACTATCATGTGCTCTCTAAACACACATATTTCCATATAAACATGATGTGGCTAAAGGGCTTCTCTCGTTAACACAAACCTTGAAAGTCAAAGTAGTAACTAGGAATAAGTCACGGGGAGTCTACGTTATTTTTTCACCCCGCATGACACCTGCAGACCATGCCCTTCCTGGGTAAGAGGCAGGAAGTCTTCATAACCAAGCACACCAGCTACACGCTCACCCGTTCTGCACACTATTGGTGTCACTTTCCCAAAAACACATTGTGCAGTTGTTTTGTGCCGACATGGCAGGGAGGGGATAAGCACGAGAGGTCTGGCTGTAGACTGCAAACAGCAGCAGTGAGATGGGTTTGGCTGCAGTGTTGAGGTTTGCACCGGTGAGGTTAGCAGTCTTGCAACCTCACCTCTGCGTTACGAAAGGTTTTGTACAGTAACTTGTCGTATGAGTTTGCAGCTAAGCTGATATTCACACAGATAGCATACCACACATCGAAGCAGATCCTTCACCAGACGCGCTTCTTTTGTAACTGCCTCATCTCTGCTACTTTTCCCAAGCACGAGATCGTCCTGCCAAAGCAGTTTTTTTTTTCAGCATCATGCTTTTCTCCGGGCAGACCTTTTAATTTGGCAGGATTGAACAGCTGAGGCATTAATGGGACCATTTTCTAAGTTTCTCTTATTGCTGAATCTCACTTTGCTCCTGACAGCAGCAAAGGTGCTCATGTGTTTTCCTTGATAGCGGTGGCTCATTTGTATGCTCAGGAGATACAGACCCTCAATAACTCATGCAAATTTGTCTTTTAAAGTGGTCAAAGTGACGGTTTTCACTACGCCCTATGCAGAAATTTCTGTTTCTACCAGATGATGAGGTAGCAAAAACTGCAACCTCAGGCTGCTGTCATGTCCCCCTCGCCTGAAACCTCAGGGTAGCCCCTGACAATTTGATGGGCTGGGGCACAGAGCTGGGAACTGGGTTCTGGACTAAATTTCCTCTCTCTTATTATTTCACAGGGCCATGCAGCAGGGTTAATTTCTCAGAAGGGTGAGCCCAGTGCTGGCAGAGCTGCACGCAGCACTCTGGCACCTTTTTGGCTAGTGACATCTCTCTCAGGAGGCTCTCGCATCAGGTGCAGATGCTCTGGACCACTCTGTTGTGAAGAGGTTGCTCCCACAGCCCCTCCCAGCCGTGCGGTTTGTGGTTTATCAGGTCTGCTGGCAGCAAGGGGAGGAAATGTACTTGCTGCTCAGCCTGCCTTCCCGGAGCTTGCAGACCTGGTCCTCAGATATGAAAAAGCGTGTGTGTTTCAGACAGCACGTTAAGGGCTGGGTCCCCCAAAACTTGCCAAGGGAACCCCCCAGATCCTCAGAGGCTGCTTCTGCTCATGCAAGGGCTGCACCCCAGCTCCCTTTATCTCTCTATTAGCTGCATAGCTGTTTTCCAGAGACATGCCAAGGGGAGATCTTGGTGGCAAGAAGGGAGTTGTTTTTCCAGCAGCTGCCCTAAGTGAGATGAAGCTGTTGCTTTTGTCATACAGGGAGGGCTGGAAAGTGTGGTACAGCCTGTCCTGGCAGCTGGCAGGTTTTGGTTTTGAACTGCCTGGGTGCAATATCAGGAGAGGCAAAGGCACAATCCTAACATCAGGACAGCCTCAGTCTAGTGCCCAACTCCTGAAGAACCTGTATGTAGGGTGCATTTACATGTATTCTCTCCCTTGCCAGCTGCATGAAATCACCAGGACAGGCTACTGCAGCTGGGGAACCTTTTGCATTACCCATGGCCTTGCTGCAGGCCGGGGAGCAGCAGTAGCTGAAGGACCTTGCCCATCACAGTGACATAGGGTTAAGTACTGCTGGGACACAGGGCTGCTTGCATGTAGGACTTTTCCTCATCTGGTCTTTCTTTTATGTGTTCCTAGCAGAGTAAGCCCTAGTGTTCAGGGTATATTTCAGTAGATGAAGTATGGTGCAGGTATAGTTTCTTTGAAGATCAAGGGAGGGAAGGAGGAGTGGTGGACAGGACTGAAGGCTTACTACCTTGCCTGTCCCAGTCATAGTGAGGAAATCTGGCCCTTTTGTAACAAGTGGCCCCTTTAATCTGCCATGGCAGAAGAATCTGGTCATTAGCTTTATCAACTTCACATGGAAACAGTATGAGCAGTGTGGGGTATGGGCCAAAATGGCTCTTCAAGCTGGCCAGCTGCACCATCCCAGCTCTGTTTTGGCCAAGCTGCAGCTCACAGCAGTGATGATTCCACCTGGAAGAAAGCACAAAGCAAACACTGAAGAAGAGGGAGCACTAGCAGTCAGGACATGCGTGCCTCATGGCCGTGAAGAGAGAAAGTGTCACAAATGAGAGGCAATAAAGGATGCTTTCCTGGAAAACTGCTGATGTGACAGGCTGGACTGAGATCTCTGTGAGGTGGGAAAGCACACCTGCAACTGATGGGATGGAGAAAGGGAGGGGGTAGGTCATTGACTAACATCATGTTATTTTGTACTGAGCAGATTGCTTCCATGGGGATACTATTTGCTATGATCACTAAGCTTTACCATACTCTTGCTGTAGGAATGAATGGGTATGTTTATGCTAAGATGCTTAGCATATTCTAGCAGCTCTTTATAAAGATCATTATCTATAATTAGGTAAGTGTGCATAACTGTTATTGCTCTTGTGCTAAAAATTGCTGCAAATGGAGCTGAGGAGGGAGAGGATTATAATTTAGACATCAGATAATTGGACTTAATTTGCTTAAGAGAACTACTGGTTGTGGCCACTTGAAACAGTAGGTCTTAAGCTCAGGAATAAAATGCTTTTCTAAAAGTATTTAGTGTTGCTGTTCATATCTGTGTCAATATTTCCATTAGAGATAAGTGGTTTTGTGACTGAAACTTAGCATGTGAAAACGTCAGTCAGAGCACTGCTGAACATAATAGTCCTGATTTTGCCTTTTCTCACAGATGTCTGAAATTAGAAACAGGCTGCTGTTTCCTAAACTTCAGCCAGCTCTGTTGATCTCTTGTGAAGTTCACTTGCCCCTTTCACACTGATTAGATTTCCAGGCAGGGCTTAGAGTTGCAGTTGCTACTCCTGTGGTCGCACGTGTGGTAAGAGTGGATTCAGATGGGGCTATTAAAGGCACTGTGAAGTTAGTGTGTGTTTCCTAAAGGCTGAGCTTCACCTCTCTGTACTAGCCTCGCCCTAGGTCTAGATTTCACCGATGTTTTGTGAAAAGTTGTGCTGCCTTTTCTTGCTTTCAGAAAGGAATTGATAAGCGAATGCAACTGCCCACAGTACTTCTGCTGCACTGCACCAGTACCCAGCTGCCCTTACACCTTCTGAATCCGAGCTGGGACCAGCACTGCTCCTGCATGGGCTGAGTGCAGCAGCGTTAGGGTCACAGTGCATGGGATGCAGAGTACTCAGGGCTGCACAGACTGTCATCTTCAGTGCAGCCCAAACTTGCTGTAGATGTCTGCACAAGGCTGAATTTTGTTCTTGCTCTCTGTCCTCCAGGTCTGTAGCTTGTTCAGATACCTTTTTCAGGATCCCGAAATACAGCCATGCTGCTTATACAAAGCTGACAGTGTATAATATTCAGGGCTCAGTGTTAGCCCCTGGACGTGAGCCAGTGCTGACTAAAGAGTTGATAATTTTCTTTAATTCCTGTGCTGGAACCTAACCTCTGGAGCGTGTAGGCAATACAGGCCTTCATGGACATGCCAAAAAATGGCCTTCATGGACAAGCCAGTGGTGGACACTCAGAGATCCCCAGGGATGCTGGCCTGCTGCAGGCTGTATCCTCCACAAACCTTGTAACAAAGGCATGCTCCTAACTCCAGAACGAGTGAGAAATCCTGCGAATATGGACCCAAAGTTTTCATGGAAGATTATTGCAAGGAAGTGCCCCATATGGACCAAAGCTCTGTTCACCAGGTAAGCAGCCATGGCATGAAAGCCCTAGAGATTGCTAAAGAGTGCTTGCAATGGTGCCTTTCCTGCCATTACTGCCATCATGCATGAGGCCTTGAATCTAAAGGTCCTCCAACAAACTTCTGTTGGTGTCTTCAAAACCATGGCTGCTGAACCCCCAAAATCAAGCCCTAAGCATGCACATAGGAAGGGGTATGGATTACAGGTTTCTGCTGATGGGAGCTAAGCTGCCTCCCGCCATGGTGCAGATAAAGTTTGGTCAACATTTGTGTGTGCTCAGAGTGCTTTGGTGAAGGCTGCGCATCCATCAGGCAGGAAAAACAGAAGTCTTGTAGTTAAAAGCATCACCCCTTGGCTTCAAATCCTTCCCTTTGATGTAAGTAACAAGCTGAACTTTCCACTATGGTGAATTATGGCACAAGGCTTTCTTAATCTTACCTGTTGGACACTGTACAAATGGCTTATGAGGAGGATCTGAACCTGTCTTTTGTATCTCGGATGAGAGCCCTACTGGGCAGGTTGTAGAAGCAACCACCAGCAGACATGAAGTAAAGAAAGAACAAGTGAAATGGCTCTAGCTTGAAGCTCACCCTGGAGTGTCTGAAAGCTTAAATTGAGATGTGTTTAGTCTCTTCCAGCTCAGGTAGAAGAATCCTACAAATCACCAGGTAAGTAACCAAGGAGATTTCTGTGTAAAGATAGATTTTTTTTTTTTTGTTTTAAATACCATCTTCTAATAAAATTATATAAAAGTCATCTGAGAATATGCAATCATGTTCTGTGTATATGCTTGCTATCTCTCCTCCTCCATCCCCCATTAAGTTTTAAATCCATCATCTAATTTCAGCTAAATTCAGTAACTAGAAAGAAGTCTCAAAGGTACAAAATTTCTTTTTTTTTTTTTTTTTCTCTCTGTACAGTGCCTTTGCACTGTACAGCCAGGAGACCACTCGTGGCTGCTAGAGCCATTATTTTTCTCCATGAGAAGAGGTTGATAGGCTCAGCTGGAAGTCAAGAGAGAGCAGCTGGACAGACAGTACGTGTGTGAATGCTCACTGGACACACTGCTGACCAACTTAGCCACTCAGTCCATGTCTATACTTTAACTACTGTACTTGCATTTTGTCTTGTTGGATTTGAAAATAAAGGTATTGGGTGTGAAATAGTATACATGCAATATTGGTGGCAAGGAGACCAAGATGCAGGAGTAAGCTGGGGAGCTAAGCTTTTAGAAAATAGAGACAATCCATATGTACTTTAAATATGACATCTTTCCTCTGTGTCTTTGCTAGCTTAAGTGAATCCCACCTTGGCTGTTTTCCCAGAACCCTTTATTTAGACCATCCATGCTTCTTGGTGGTTACGTGTACCTGGGGATGAGGATTCCACCAGAGAGTGGGGTTCTCTGGGGTCAGACGTTAATAAACATTGTGTACCTTTGAGGGCATAGGCTGAAGCAAATGATGGAATGAAGGATGTGAACATAAACATTTAATCTAGAAAAGAAGCTGCATAATATTTTTTTTTTCTTTCCCCCAGCAGTGATTTCATAATGAGTCTTAATGCCCTGATTAGGTGTGGCTGTAGCAGAGAATCACCAGCCAGCCTGAGCTATTGCGGCTTAGCAGAGAAATGACTGAAGACATAAGGTAACTGTCTACTCCAGAACCCGTGTGTGTTACCACCACCTGAGGAGCAGGGAGATAAAACTGAGTATCCATCTGCAATAGTCATTGTTGGCTTATTGGCTTGATTATTCTCCTTGGATATGTATTCACTCAGCAGATCACAGCAACCCCAAAGAGGTTAATTACGTGTATTTTTAAATTCCCTAAGTGCATATTTGCATAACTAGCATTTTTAAATATTCATAAATACATATTTGCTTGATAGATTGTAGCGGCATCATTTGCAGCTTCAAAAGAGACATTCACTTAATCAAACCAGAAATGGTAATCATTTCTTGAGGCTCAGACATATGATCAGCATATTGTGGCACAATAAATAGATTGAGCATCAGCTGGGGCATGGTAATTGAGTGCATGCTCCTGGCCTATGGCACACGGGAGGAAATCTGACCCAGCTTAACCTCCTAGCACTGTGGTATAGCTGGACCCTCTTTGCATTTACTACAGACAGAAAACAGACTCATAAATTACAGCCATGGATCAGCTCATTTGGGTTAGGTGGATTGTACATCCTTGCTCGTACTTGCTAGCTCTGCTTCCCCAGTGAAAAAGCCTTGCAAGGCCATTGCTGTGGACATTCCTGCAGTGGGTGTGTGCCCACATGGCCCTGGCACTCTCAGCCTCAACAGGTATGTCCATAGCGTTAAACAGAAGAGGCAGGAAGCAAGCATGAACCCTCAAGTCATAACTGACTTTACTGCTTAACCCATTCCCTCTTTCTTTCAAACTCCTTCAATTATCTGAATCCAGGGCACAGCCCCAGCAGAGTCCTGGGGACAGCTCGTGGTGTCCACCCGAAGTGCACCAGGTGTGGGTGCCTCCACCCTACGCTACTGTCCAGCGCTATCTCAGGGGGCTTTGTGTCCTCACACACTCCTGGATACCTTCATGCCACATCAGGAGTACACAACACGGACTCTCAGTGCTGTAAGACCATGCCACTGGGGTGGAGCAAAGTCCTCGCTACTTCAGAGAGGAGAAAAGCATAAGAAATCATGATAATACTGTTATAGGGGACCAGAGTGATGGAGGTCCAGGGTCTTGTGCTCTACAGTATAGACACTGTTGGCCATAGAGGTCCTGGACCCCAAACACAGTGAGTGCAGGCTGGTCTGTGCCATTTGGGCTCCCTTCACTGTGGCAGTACAGCCAGAGCTGCTGTAGCCCAGAGCAGCTGAGGGTGCTTGTATCTCAAACCGACTGATTTGCAGTTCCCTCGTCCCCACTCAGCCCGGCTATGTGCTTATTTAATTCTGATTGCAGGGAAGTAGTCCTGATTGTCTTCAACTTGAGAGAAAGGGGAGTGTAATTTTTATTCATGCGAGCAGATCATGACCAGGTGTTACAACCAGAAGGGCTTCCCCCCAGTCCCCCCCCCCCCCCCCCCCCCCATTTTCCTTTGCGCTGCTCTATGAAGAGTCTTTGCAGTATCAAAGCAGGAAACCTCAAAGCAGGGTGACAAGGAAGTTAACTCCTTCTGAGCCTGCCTGTGAGGTGGTGAGTCAGATGTGAAGGGTGGTCCCTTGGCAAGCAACTGAAAAGAAAAAAGAAAGGCAACAGCTGTCCCCACCAGCTGAGTTTTGAGCTCAAGTTCAGGAAGAGAGGAGCATGAATTCATAACGCACGAGCAATGCCAAAGCTCAGGCTCACATCTAACAGCCCAAGCCCTCGTGGCTAGGAGGTGCAGGAAATGGGGCCCCAAGAAAGGATTAAGAAGCATTGCTTGCTTCATGTGTCTGGTGGCTGTGGGGAGCAAGGGGAAAGCAGGACAGTGGTTTTGGAGGAGGGAAACCCAGAAAGAGGGAAGGAGGATGATTCACACACAACAGCATCCCTGAGCTCATGAGGAGGGGGTTGTGAGTCTGGGCTCTTGGTCCTGAACCCATGGGTGATTTCTGGTGTCAGTAATGGTCGAGTTCTTGCACATCTGCTGTCCTGCCCTGGGTATAGGCAATGCAGCACCCCGAGGAGCTGCCGGCTTGCAGGGTGTTTGCCTGGGAAGAGGAAGGCCACCATGAAGGGGGAACCAGTGACCTGAGATGGTGCGTGATCCCTCCTCAGCAGACCACATCCCTGAAATCCCGTTCTGCTGAGTCAGTGTGGGACATGTGTGCTTTGAGCTTTTCCGCTGGGTGATATTGCATAAACTATGACATCTACACCAAATAAGATCCTCCCTGCCTTGGCAAGTGGGAAGCGAGGCTTTGAAAACAAAGCCTGCTTGGCAGGTTGCCCCCAAGTCAGCCTGATGTCCCAGTGCTTGTATTTTGAAACACTTCTCAGCTTCACATCCTAGCAAAACCGATCTCCTGACTTTAATCATCCAGGACAAACACATTTTGGGGTCCAAGTTTATTTGAGTCTCAGTAGCTAAGAGTTGCGTTTCCTTTTAAGAAATTATTGTGGTTTGGTTCATTGAAATTAAAAGACAAAATGCAATTTTGTATATCATTTTTTATATTATTATTTTATCATTTTATTTTAAAATGGATATTCCTTTATGGCTGTATATCAGCCCCTGCTCATTAGAGTATCCCCTGTAGCCATTGAGTTTAGAAGCACACAAATTCGAGTTAATCTTAACAACAGTTTGATCACTAAGAAATAAATAAACTTTTTATCATAGCTGAAGGCTAATCTTAGCAGGTATCTGCATTTGAATACATTTTTGTCAGGAACCTGCTGGCCTTTTAAACCTCGTAGCAGAGTGGTGGAAGATCCTGAGGCATCAAAGTTTCTGTCATTTGTATTACACTGCCAACAGTTCCTTTTTAGAAGAATAAAGCCACCTCCATTTTTTAATTGGAGCTGTAAAGAAAACCTACCCCTGCAGTTTTGGATGAGTCAAGACTGTGGTGGCAATGAATGATTAATATTAATACCTGCTTCAGTCGTACTGAAATAAGCACCTTACATCAAAGAGGAAAAGCAGCCACACATGGAACAAGCCCATCCAACCAGGCCTCAGCAAAGAGTGGAGGGAGAAGAGAATAACAAAGTGGGTTGCTTTCTAAATTTATTTTTGTTGTTGTTTTTGTTTTTCCTCTCTGTACAGGTTTGGTATCTCTGGATATGTAAACAGGAGGAATCTGGTGGTGGATATAAAGAGGCTGCAAGTTACCAGACCCATTAATTAACCTTTCAGTTCCCACCTGATTAGCTTCCCTTTGGATATATGTATATACCTGTTATAATTTTGATGTGGCTGAAACCTTGGGGGACCAAAGATTCTTGGCAGTGTCAGACCTGCAGTGGTGCTGGTCTTAACCAAGGATTTAGGGAAATAATGTCAATTGTTCAGCATAAACTTTTTGGAAATTGTGATTACTTTTTTTTCTTTTGCCCACTCTAAATCCTCCTAATTTTCTGGCTGAACAGATTTACTTTTATCATTAGCAAGTAATCAGCGTGCAAGATGAAAGTGCACATAATCATTCTTTCTAAAATAAGTTATCAACTAGCCTTTATTAGGATAAGGAACCAGCTCTGGATAACTTCATGGTGGAAAAGAAAAAAAAAAATAGACAACTTCAGTCATTTCTTTTGCTTCTTTTCCTACCTATTAGTGCCAGGGCAATTTTTGCCATTCAATACATTAAAGACAGACCAGTTAGCAGTTCTCAGGTTATAATCTTTAGTTATATTTTCCATCAATAAAATTTAATATCCCTGTCTAACCATAATTTCTAGGTCTGTTTACCATCAAAAAATAAGCTCTCATGACAGTGCACAGGTTGGTAACACAAAGCTTCTCTTAATCACTAGTCATGACCAAACCAAGATTAAATAGTACTTCTTTCTAATTTTTCTTTCTTCTTATGGTCTCAGTGATTTGGGCAAAGGAGCATCCCTTGAGTGGTGAGGACCCCCTGCTTTCCCTGCACTTGCCTCTCATTGTTTTTTCTTTTTGTGCTTAGAGGAGGTGACTGGGATAGGACCAAGGATGGAGATGATGGGTAAGGTGCTCCCAGACCTACAGCCCTGGTGCTCAACGGGGAAAGCCACTCAGCTCAGCAGGGATCTTGCTTCCACCTGGGCAGCAGCTGCTCTTAGGGCAGGCTGCTTGGCAGAGCCCGCTCACCCAGAAAGTTGCTTTCCCAGCACCTGGGGCTGTGCTTCCCCCGCAGGCTGCACGGCCCCGGGACATGCAAGCAGCTACTCTCTTGGCAGCCCTCTGCTGCAGCCTGAAATATCAGCCTCAGGCTGGGGACAGGGAAAAAGAGGTAGTGTGACATGCAACTGAAAAACCACAGGCTGAACCGTGCTGATCCTGTGATTGCTTGTCCTCGGGAGCCCAGAAAGGTTGAGTTAAAAAGATATGGGGATGTTGCCACAGCCTCTCCAGGCCACAGCTTCAGTGCTGCAAAATGAAGAGTCTTGGTTGCAGCCAACAATAAACCCTCTTTAATGATCATGTCTGCAATATGTGAACACTGCTAAAATGCTGACCAGGTCCCTGCTGCCAGAAAATGAGA